CATCTAAGATGGGGTCAAGGACTGGTCCCTATAGTACCCCATTTGATTTATTAATTTATATAAATAAAAATGTAAATGTTCGTTTGTTCAAAATCTTAAATCTCCGAATGTTCTTCACCGATTGCTTTGAAATTTTGACACAACGTTGCATTCGAATACACGTGTGTTTTTATATACCTACTATTTTTTTATATACCTACTATTATATAGATGTCACACCTGTGACACAAACGTGCGCTTTCTCTTTTCTTTCTTTTCCATTTAACCCAGCGGTTTTCAACCTGTGGGTCGCGACCCCTTTGGGGGTCGAATGACCCTTTCACAGGGGTTGCCTAAGACCATCGTAAAACATATATTTCCGATGGTCTTAGGAACAGAGACACCGCTCCTCTATCCGTCTCCAGGCGGATAAAAACAACACAGAATTAAAGCAAGAATGGTAAGAATTAAAGCATCAAAGGAGCAACTCCCCACCTCTCAGGTAGAGCTAGCAAGAGCCAACGACTCAGCCCGCCTTCTCCCAGCCTTTTCATCAATCAGAAGCCGTGGCCCGGACATTGGCGTCCGTGACGTATCTTCACGGTGGAGCTGCTCCAGATCGCGCTTGCGTGCAGTCGCTCGCGCCTCGGTGAAAGAGGGGAGACGGGCTGGCGGGGAGTTGGGGGGAGAGGCAGGAGGAGGAGGAAGGAGGGAGGGAGAGAGGGAAGGAAGGGTTATTAGCTGTGAAATCAGCACGCCGGAGGGCTTTGCCGTGGGGGTGGGTTCCTTTTGTATTTTGATTCCCTCCCTTTTGGACGGAGGAATGGACATTTTATGATCTGGGAGAAAAACAAAATCTGGTGTCTGTGAATAAAAGCGCCGGTGATCATCTTTTCTTTCCGCCAGCTCGCCTTGATACATTCAGTGCAATTGCTTTTTTAAATCGCGCTTTTGGATTGTATTTTTAAAAAAATCTTAGCTTTAAAACAAAACAAAACTGGAAAGCACATTCTTAGAGCAAGGCGCAGACTTGGTACCTCTCTCTCCCCCGCGCCCCCCCCAATCCCCGGGTATTTTTATTTTTGGTTGGCAAAATCGGATCCGCAGCTGCTAAATGAATAGTGGCTTGCGAGGGAGGGGGCTACTGTGGGCAGCAGAAGACAGGCTGGTGCATCCGAGGTGTTCGCTCGCCTCCTTTCTGTTGAACACCCCCCGGTCTAGATCGGAGTTGCTGTTTTGCGCGGGCATGAGCCAGGATGGCCATTCATGGGGTTGGTCTCTGCCCTTGCGTGGGGGTGTTGCAAGCACCTTAAATGAGCCTCCCCACCCCAATCCGTGGGATTTTCTTCGGGGTTGCTAGGAGCTGCACTTAAACTCGGAATTGCCCGGCTGCAAGCGAAGAGAAGGGAGTTGGCGCGGGCAAGAAAGCCAGCAGCCCGAATTGCGAGCTTCCCTTCGCCTTTTTCGTCGTGAATCGGGAGCAAGCCAACCTCGGGATTTTCCCTCCTCCCGCCTTTAAACGGCTTCCTTTTATTCTGCCTCCCGCCTGGTCGGGATCCAAAGGCGAGGCTCCGATTGAGAAAGTGTATACTCCACTGCCAGAAATTGTTAGGAAAAAGGAAATGCACTGAGAGAGGGACTTGTCAGAAAACATTTAGATGAGAATCAAGTACGCTCAGTGGAAGGTGAAAATGTTGGAAGGAGGGAATGAAATAGCTGGAATCTGGGACAGCTGTAAAGTCGTATCCTTCTGTTTTGGGAAACTTCCATGAAAAAGTAGTCACGTAACCCCTCGCTTCATCCACAAAATGTTACAGGGGTTCTGATTTTTTATTTATAACCTTTTTCCTTTCTTCCATTCTCTTGCTGCTTTTCCTTCAATTGGTCATGTGATCAAAATGTGGATGCTTGGCAACTGGCCTGTATTTATGATGGTCATGTGATTATTTTTAGCAATCTTTTGACAAGCAAAGTCAATGGGGAAGCCAGATTCATTTAACAACTGTGTTCCTAACTTAATAACTGCAGTGATTCACTTAACAACTGCAGCAAGAAAGGTCATAAAATGGGTGCAACTCACTTAACAACTGCCTTGCTTAGCAACAGAAATGTTGGGCTCAGTCGTGGTCGTAAGTTGAGGACTACCTGTAGTTGTGGAATTCCTTTTGTTGGATGGTCTACTCTAGAGTCTGATCCTGCATATCAGATATTTACATTACGATTCATAACAGTAGCAAAATTACAGTTATGAAGTAGCAACGAAAATAATTTTATGGTTGGGGGTCACCACAACATGAGGAACTGTATTAAAGGGTCGCAGCATTAGGAAGGTTGAGAACCACTGCTGTAGGGTATCCTATTGTTATATAAAGTTTGGCTTTTTAAAAATGTAAACTGTCTAGTCATCTAGACTGAATTAAATAAATAAATGAACCACCAACTTAATTATCTCTGGCTGTGTTAATAATCTGATGATAAAGTAACTTTAATTAAAATTATTTTAAATCCTTATAAGAAATACGATAGATGTTCATGTCTGATCTGCCATATTACAATACTTTGCTTAATTTGGTGCTTTAAAGAGAACATATAGTAATCTAAGAAAAATGCATTTTATATTTCTGCTCTTTTACTAGTCTGAGTGTATATGTCATTCTGAATTCTGGCAAGCAAAATGACACAGTCAGTTAATAAGTAATCACGTAAAAGCATTTCTAGTCAAATTGTAAGGGGGCTGTACATAAGGTGAGACTAAGCAGAAGAAAGTGAGATTGGGCAAGAGCATTTCTTAGAGATATCATGGTATATCATCATATGTGAAAATTGGGTTCCCCAATAAGAGAAAAGAAGCGCTACCTGTTTTTCGGATGGTGAGAAATTAATTTGATTGACCTTAAGTCAATTAGTCTAATTTGCATTTCTGGACTAATGTGCTGGTGGGACATATTTTTCTACACATTCTGAAATGCAGTTTTTGGCTCAGAATTGCATTTGGATAAGCTTATATCAGGGACCATTGATATGAAAATTTAAATATTTTAAAAGATATTCTAATACTTACAACTGAATGCGTGAAAAATTGATTCCCACCAAACATTCTGATTCACCCATTACTTGGACATGTCTCACTTGCTTCATAATAAACACAAGTAAATAATCATAGACATATTGTTTCATTTGTTTAAAGTGACTGTATCAAACCTAATTCTCCTCCAGTGTTTCATTTTAATTGCTGCTGGGTATAATTTTGAACACACACACACACACAAAAACCCCCACATAAAATGCAGCGCTCATTTTAATATGAGTTTGTAAGGGATTTACAGTTAAAACATCCCATTTCATACTTAAACCAGCAGTTTCAAAATCAAATGGGATGCACTCAAAACTCATTTGAAAATCACTTCCAGTCCTGCAAAGAACAGTTACTGAGCATCTGCTAATTTGCTAAGTAAATTACAAATAAACACACTGAATCCCTTCAGAAGCAAAGTATATAGCTTATTAAGTGAATGTATGGGAGACATGCATTGAGATTGTGCATGGTAACCAGCTATTATTCATGACTAATCCTTTCAATAAATCCAGCCAGGTTGGGCTAATTCAGAACAGAAAAGTGAAGTGATCAGTTTTTTCTTTCCATTTTTCTCCAAGCCTTCTGAGTGAAATGTGAAAAGTGAAATGCCCCCTGTGTTTTGGAATAGCTTTCCCTTCTGACCAGGGTTAGTATTTTCCTTAGCCGCCAACAGGAGTTGGTAAAAACAGAATTGTTCTGAAAACCATTTGAAGATTGCGGCATGGCTGTCATTTTAATTATTATTATGGGCTGCTATTTTTGGCTGTATTTTTTGCAATGTTATGAAGTCATTTTGTATGATTTAAATGTGTTTTATATGATTATAGTTTATGGATGTAAACCACTGGGAGTTAGGATAGATTATGTTAATGTATACATAAATGACATGCAGCAGTTTTCTTTGTGAATGTTCGAAACTCCTCCAGAAGTTAATGGCATCTGTAAAAATGATATCCCTCCTCAGTTATTCTTGATCTAGATATTCTCTAGTGTTCTCTGAATTTCATATGATTTGTGTAAATACAGTATTAAGACTTTTCTATAGAAAAAAGCAACAAAATCTCAAAATCTATGATTCCTTTCTTTTTCTTTTTCTTTAAAGTTAGTGTTGCTTTGGTTTCTCCTTTTATGTATACATAATTTCCTCTAATACAATTTACATTTAAGTTTGTGGTTAAATTTATCAATTTAGGGTCTCTCTCTGAGATACAGTGTAATGGCTAAGATGCTAGACTGGGAGCAGTGGGATCAGACTGGGGGATGCTAGGTCAGTTATTCTCTTTCAGCCCTTTATTGGGAAGTTGAACATCTACCTATCAATCCTCACTGTGGAACAATATGTAAATTATGATTCATAATTTTCAGTGAAGAATCTTATGATTGTTTGGGTTGATTTTAAATGTACCAATAGATGAGAATATTTGTAGTACAGGGTTGAAATGAGGGGTCTTTGATGCTCTCTGAGCATGGTTGTTTTCTTGCAGAAGTTTTATTACCAAATAAGCTAATATCTACTAAGTCAGGGGTCTCAAACTCAATTTCATTGAGGGCCACATCAGTATTGTGGTTGCCCTTGGGGGGGAGGTGGGTGGGGGTGGGCGTGGCCTAGTGGATGGGTGGGCATGGCCTAGTGGATGGGCATGGCCAGTTCAACATCGTTCGCATCAGGGGCGCCTGTGGGGGCCTGGGCAGGACTGGGCTGGATCTGAGGGTCTCCTGTGGAGAGGGGTGGGACTGGAGAGAGTGCCGGGGCATGGTCCACTGGAGGAGCCTCACTTGTCCCTCTCAGGCTGTGGGAGTGGAGCCCCCATATGGTGGCATGGGCTGCCTGGAGCCCTGGGCAGCAGAGGTTATGAGCTTAGTACTCAAGCTCTCATGGCACCGGACCCCGCAGCCCATCCTAGCCCAGCCCCACTTCCCCAGGTGGGTGCCCAGCTGCACTTACCTCTTCCTCAAGGCTACTGCTGCTGTGCTTACTCTCCTTGGCCAGGTTGCTCATGGTGGGTGCAGAAGGGCAAAGTCCATCGGTCAGAGGGAGGCCCACTCCCTCTCCATGCGAGGAGAACTGGCTTTGTAACCAAAGCATCCTCAACAGTAGGATGGGAGACCACCAGGGGTTGGCGAAAGGGCAGCAGGGCTGCTGGTGGCCGTGCTAAGGCAGGACTTCCCTCAGACCCGCCCTCCCTCTTGTTCCAATCTCCCTCTTTCCTCCCTCCCTCCCTCTCATTCCCATCTCCTTTCCCTTCCTGTCCCCCTCCCTCCCTCCTTCCTTGCCTCCCTCCTTCTCATTCCCATCTCTTTCCTTCCTTCCATCCTTCTTTCCTTCCTGTTTCCCTCCTTCCTTCCTTCCCTCCCTCCCTCTGTCTCTCTGTGCCCAGGAAGGGATGAGAGGAGGGGGAGAGGTTGGAAGTGCTTCTCTTAAACAATAACAGAGTTGGAAGAGATCTTAGAGGTCTTCTAGCCCAACCCCCTGCTCAAGCAGGAGACCTATACCATTCTAGACAATGGAATATCCAATCTCTTCTTAGCCTCCAGTGATGGAGCACCCACAACTTCTGATGGCAAGCCTTTTCACTGGTTAGTTGTTTTCACAAGTCCTTAGTTTTAGGCTGATTTTCTTCTTGATTAGTTTCCATCTATTATTGCCTTCTGATGCTTTGGAAAATAGGTTGACCCCTTCTTCTCTATGGCAGCCCATCAAATATTGGAACACTGCTATCATGTCACCATACCCAATTCCCACAAACATTTGTCATATGTTTTAGCATCCAGCCCCCTAATCATCTTTGTTTACCATCCATTAAGACCACATGGTTTATAGAACAGTGGCCATGAGCAGAGCCTTCTCAGAGACAGCACCCCAATTATAGAACTTTTTCCCAAGGAAAATATGAACAGTACATCCTTCTCCTGTTTAGAGGCAACTCCAGACACACTGTTCAGCCAGGTATATGTAGAACAACACCACATTTAATGGTCAAACAGCACTAATTAAATTACTACTACTATTTTTCTTTCTTAAAATACACACTTTTAATATTATTTTAAGCAGTGCTGGTGATGCTTTACAATAGCTGTCCTTGAGAGTTTTCTTGTAAACCATCCTGGATTTCTCCGAAACATTTAATTTCGAATTAGACGTTGATTTAATAAATTAGGCAGAAGGATCAAATGTTTAAATACATCTAAATCCCACAGACCTACTGCCCCCTAGACGCATATTGCAGAGAAAATAAGGCATTCCATTTCTAGCCAGCATAGCCACAGGATGATGGGAACTATGGTCCATGACATCCAAAAGACACTAGTTTGGATAAGGCTGGATTAAATTATAAAAGAGCAGATTAGAGGAAGTAGAAGCGAGAAACACTTTCTATGTTTCCGACAAAATAATTCGGCGGGGGCGAGAGTTGACCCAGCCTTTTAATTTCAACTCACGCCAATTCCTCTTACCTTCCCATTCAATCCCAATGAGTTGTATTATCAGCTGGATTTTAGGGAAGGGAGGTGGCAAGAATAGACCATGAAGCCAATCTGCGAGTTTGCTCTTTCGCCTGCCTGCGCACCATCTCCCTGATGCAGCACGCAGCTCCAAGCCATTTCCCCAGAAGTCCTTTGCAAACAATTAAACATATTTCTTTTGGGCCTCTCACTTTTCTGGGAATCGCAACGCAACTAACTTGACTCCCCAAACGGCCTCACCTTACCACTGACCTGCAAACTGCCTGGCATCTAGTTTTTTCATCTTCTCCTTGCTGCCGGTGGCCGTGGCTTTCCCACGTGGGGGTGGGGATGGTCCCAGTGAAAGGGAAGCACTCACAGGCTGCGAGGCTGGGCTGGTGAGCAGATTATGGAGGCGCTAGTGGAGGCACTGATCTACAACTTCGTGTCGGTCATCCAGAACGCGGTCAGTTTTAGATCCACAGGGCCATCTTGGAGGGGGACCGAAAGAGGGGCCCCAGCCCACCCACTTTCTTATCTACTGGGTGAAATCTTTATCTTATATGTGTCAGCTTTGCTGGATGGGTTGCTTATGTAATTAGAAAGAATAAATACAAGGATTTCTTGTTATTTGGGGCTTCTCTCATTTAGAGGAGTCCGTCTCTATTCAGCTGAATAAAAACGTAAAGCTTGAAGGCAACTTCTGGTTTCCTGTATTTTTTTATCAAGCAAAACCTCAGAACCTGTATATCATTTTTGGCGAGCCTGGCTTCCAGGAGAGGTGCTTGGTTGGTCCTAGGTAGGCTCAGGAAAGGGGAAGGCACCAAGCACGCTCCGGGATTTCCTGGAGGTGCCCCCCTTCTTGACTCTTCACTGTGGTTTTTAACAGGAACCAGTTTTTTCTTCTTTTTGGTTGCCTTTTACTTGATTCCTGCATACTCAGGAGGGCTGAAGATAAGGTAGGACACACAGATATACATTACTTTGTTGCACCAGCTTGCCTGGGGGAGTATGTGTGTATAAGTGTATCTGTTTCCTTGAATCATTTCCCACCGTTGAGCTGGGCGGAAGGGTTTGTTTACTCTCACTTTATATATTAGTGGTCTGCCCTGTCAATGTTGGTGGAAATGGTCTCGGTGATTTCTTGATTGGGCTGTTGTTTACTGTTAACTTGCTTCTTTGAGTTGGGGTTGGGGTAATGTTTACCTCTTGATTGTTGGTATAATGTTAATCTTGGTGTTAATCTCTACTCATCTGATTATTGATTGCTGGTGAAGGAGGTGTTTTGGTCTTTTGTTTTCTTTTTGGTTTTTTTTATTGTCTCTTTAATGATATGTAGATGTTGTTTATCTCTATGTGCCTGTTGATGGCCGATTTGAAAACTGGGAAGCTCAGAGAGCACCAAGAACCCCACGTGATTTTAGATGTAGATATTTAATTTTTTTTTTTACATTATGCAGATCTTCAGAGAAGCCAAAGAAATATTTGTGTTGAAGAACTTTCTCTTAAGAAAACCATTTGCCACTGGCAGTCAAGAATGTGTACATTATATCAAAGCTTGAACATTAAATGGGAGATATATCAAGCAAATAAAATATTTGGTGAGGCAGTGAGGCTTCATATTTTTAATAGAGTACAGTTCCTTCAAATCTTTCAATATGATGAGCTTTTGGAGAATGTAGAGATTTTTTTAAAGTGCTTTGCTATTCAGAGAGAAAAGACCTGGAAGGAAGGGAGATAGCAACTTCTGTGATTTTATGAAGAATCTCATGCTTGCACTGACAAAATTGCTACCACCTACACAAGTTAGAAAATTGCTGATTACATGAAAGCAGCTATGATGTCTAGTCTTGCTGTGACTAAGGTAATAGAAAGGCCCAACCTACATTCTCTGTCATATTAAAATAGTGTCTTATCATTCTGTCTTTAAGAATGCTTTTATGGCAATTTTGCCTGTCTTTACTAGTTCCTAGATTTCTCTTGGGTGCTTAATATTTTTTCTTGAAATCTAAGGTAAGTTTTCTGATGAAAGTTTAGGCTAAATAGTTTCTGAACAAATTTGTATTTCTTACTGCGATTTCTTATTGCTGCTTTCCCAAATAATGAATTCTCGCATCCAAAGAGAGTAGGCCTGTGTCAGTCAAGCTAGCATGTTGTTGACATAGAAGTGATGTAATTTGATTTGCTTATTTATTGCATTAATTTGATAGTGCCGAATCTCAAGATTCCAGATAGCATATAAACAATATAAAAGGTAGCCAACAATTTCCTCAATTAAAACCCAATTTAAAAACTTGCACTGCAATAATGATTATGATGATGGCCTCTAATGCACCAAATTTAAGCACCAAATGCCTGTTTTAAAGAGAACAATTTTTGACATCTTCTTGAATATTAGAACAGAGAAGCCCAAGTACCCCTATACAAGCAGTGTATTTCATAATATAGGGGGCAATCGTTGAGAAGGCCTGCTTTCTGGTTCATACTTTTCTCACCTCTTTCAAAGTGGGTCCTTGAATAGACCCTATCTAGATATCCTCATAGGATGAGTAGGATCGTGTCGGATAAGACAGCTCCTTATGTAACAGAATACAACTCCATATAGGTATTTACAAGTGAAAATCAGGAATTGAGAAGGAACTAAAGAACTGGCAACTGAATAAAGTAAAATGTGTAAGGGAAAAGAAGCACATGGGTCATAAGATCAGACCATGTATCTCAGATATTTAATCTTAGCAAAGTATATTACAATAATTTGTAATAGTATTTGGAGAAGGTGGGACTGTCTAAGCCTTCCTAGCCAGGAGATAATTCAGTTTTGCAGTCTCCCCTGGATTTGAAGAAACAAAGACCTTCTGAATAAAAAAGACACTGGGGTACCAATGTTGACAGGGCTGAAAGTAAACAATCTGTTATCAAGGCGGTCACTAAAATCAGCCACAAAACAGACCAATCTTTGATATTGGGCCCTTGCAGAACTAAAGTCTGAAGGAATTTACTATTTCTACAACTACTATTTATATTAGGGTTGGTCACACAGCCAGATGTTTAGACTGGAGTTGGGATTTTTGTCTGCCTATTGAGTCCTTCTCAAGGATCTGAGATAGGCAGATGTTTAATATTGAAGGTATTGTCATAGGACAGTGGTTCTCAACCTGTGGGTCGGGACCCCATTTGGGGTCGATCGACCATTTCACGTGGATCGCCAAGCAAGGCTGTCCGCCATTTTTTTGTCCGCCATTTTTTCCCCTTTTCCGGCGGGTGCCTTACCTCCCTTGGGCTGGGCCAGCTGGTGGTCGGCCTGCTGCTGTCTCTTGCCAGCTACGCCTCTGCCGGCGCAGGGGGCGGAACCACGCATGCACGCCGCTCCCGGGCAGGGAAAGTCCTCGACTTACGACTGGTTGGGTAGTCCTCGACTTATGACCTGTTTAGTCCTCGACTTACGACCGGTGTAGTCCTCGACTTACGACCGGTTGGGGTCGCGGCATTAAAAAGGTTGAGAACCACTGTCATAGGATGTAAGCTGTTTCAAGTAAAGCTGCCTTTTGCAATTTTTGC